AGACTTCATCTCACCTATTTTGGTCATGTTGTCAGAAGGGACCATTCCCTGGAGAAGGATGTCATGCTTGGTAGGGTGGAGGGTCGATGAAAGAGGGGGAGGCCTTCAACGAGATGGATTGACACGGTGGCTGCAATGATGGGCTCGAGTATAGCAGGGATCGTGGGGCTGGCGCGGGATCGGGCAGTGTTTCGTTCTGCTTTGCATGGGGTCGCTATGAGTCAGAAACGACTCGATGGCACTTAACAACAACAACAACAACAACTTCAATCTTGTCTCCTTCTATCATGATGTTGCCTATTGGTCCAGTTGTGAGTACTTTTCTTTCCTTCATGGTGAGGTGTAACCCATACTGAAGGCTGCAGTCTTTGATCTTCATCACTCAGTTCTTCAAGTTCTCATCATTTCAGTAAGCAGAATTGTGTCATCTGCATATCACAGGTTGTTGGTGAGTTTCCTCCAATCCTGATGCCACATTCTTCTTTCATATAGTTCAGCTTCTCAGTTATTTGCTCAGCATACAGATTGATTGAATAAGTATGGTGAAAGGATACAACCCTGATGCACTCCCTTCATGATTTTAAATGATGCAGTGTCCCCTTGTTCTGTTCGAATGACAGCCTCTTGGTCTGGTTCCTCACGAGCACAAGTGTTCTGGTTACCAGTGCTGCTCTGACAGGAATATACCACAAATGGGATGGCGTTAACAAAAGAAGTGTACTCTCTTATGGTTCTGGAGACTTTAAGTCTGAGTTCAAAATGCCAGGCTCTAGGGGCTGGGAGAAAGCCCCTCAACCTTGGGCTTCAGCTCTGCCTCCTGCTCCCGGCCCACTGAAGCTGGAGGCTTTTCTTCACTCAGCAGCTGGCTGCTGAGACTGAGAAGCCCAAGGTTGACAAGTAAAAAGGCACAGTCCCGATATTACCAAACCACACGGGAGGCCATTAATTCAAGTCCATTGAAAGTCCCAAGGTTGGCAGAGCATGGCAGACTGCTGAATAATGACACGGCTACATGCAGGGTTCAAGCGTGCCATAAGCTAGAGACCGTTCCCAAATCTGCTTCTTATATATGGGAAGCAGACCACATACCCAATGCAGCTACTCGGCTGCTTATGGTACATCCCATCATGGAGTTAATTGCCAAATCTCATCATGGGGAATAACGTCCACCAGCTGCCTAACCACTCAGCCAGGCCCAAGCAAGTTGACATACAACTTTAACTACCACAAGTAAGTGTTCTGGAATTCCCATTCTCTACAATGGTATCCATAATTTGTTATGATCCACACAGTTGAATGCCTTCACCTAGTGGAAAAATACAGGCAAACATCTTTCTGGTATTCTTTGCTTTCAGCTAAGATCCATCTGACATCAGCAATGATATACCTCATTCCACATCCTCTTCTTAAACCAGCTTGCATTTCTGGAAGTTCCCCATCAGTATACTGCTGCAAAGGTTTTTTAATTATCTTCAGCAAAATTTTGCTTGTGTGTGATATTAATGATATTGTTTGATAATTTCCCACATTCTGTTGGATCACCTTTCCTTAGAATGGGTCCAAATATGGACCTTTCCCAGTTGGTTGTGCAGGTAGCTGTCTTCCAAGTTTCCTGGCATAAATGAGTAGCCGCCTGCAGCTCTGCATCTGTTTGTGGAAAGATCTCAGTGGATCCCCATCGATTCCTGGGGTCTTGTTTTCTCCCAGTGCCGTCAATGCAGCTCGGCCTTCCTCCTTCAATCCCATTGGTTCGTGAGCATGTTACCTCCTGGTCGTCAGGCACTGATGTTCAATGTGTCTAATCTGTTCATCAGATGGTCTCCATATTCAAATGGGATATACTCAAGGCCATATTTTGGCTCTCATGGGCTTGTCTTCATTGTCTTCAGCTTCAACTTGAATTTGCATGTGAGCAGTTGGTGGTCTGTTCCATAGTTAGCTCCTGGCCTTGTTTTGATCGATGATATCGAGCTTCTCCATTGCCTCTTGCCACAGATGTAGTCAATCTGATTTCTGTGTATTTCATCTGGTGAAGTCCATGTGTATAGTTGCTGTTTGTGTTCTTTAATGCAATGAATAGCTTGTTAGTCTTAGAAAATTCTATCATGCAATCTCCAGCATCATTTCTATCACCAAGACTGTTTCTTCCAATTACTGCTGCTTCTTGTAATTATAATTAGTGTATTTTACTTAATATGAGTCAGAAACACCTCATTTGTGTAGCAGATCATATGTTGGGCCATTTGCCATATACTAGTACATGCTCAACAGCATTTATGAACCATTTTGTTAGAAACATGTTTTTAGAATTTTTGACTAAAGAAAGATATGCTGGTAGCAATAAATTGACAGAGCTTGAGGATTATAGTTCAAAAGGAATAATTTCCTGCTCAAACTTGAAGGATTCAGAGGACCAGGTAAACTCTGAAAGCTAAAGAATTAAGGTGGCATCTGATCCCACCAAGAAAATAACTGTAAAATCAAAACCTATTATGTATATATACCTCATGGAGATATGCAACAACAGTTATACTTGCTAACATAAAGTACACTTTTCTTTGTTCCTCTATAACCAAAAGATGTGTGAAGTTCTATATAAACAGAACGAGATTAAGGAAAACATTGAGAAGAGTTTTGAAAGACAAGAATTGAAATTCAAATAGCTAATAAGTCTTCCTTTATTTCATTTTACAGAGAAACGATCTATGGGAGGATGTGGTATTTCACTTCAGACTTCTCCAGGGGTGACACTGCGTACACCAAGTTAGCTCTGGATCGGCACACTGACACTACCTATTTTCAAGAGCCCTGTGGGTAAGTGGGTTAGACTTTTACAGAATGGAGTCTTTTGATGTGATGGTTTCAAATAGTTTCTTAATAATTTCCCATTCTATCTGAAGTACGATCACATCTGGCTGTTGCTTATTGGTATGACTATTTCTTTCTCTTCTAGAAATATGGTCATTTGGAGATACCCTCGCTTAGCTTTCTTTAGGCTTAGAGAGTAAACAGGTAAAAAAATGATTGAAAATGCTCCTTAATACATAAATGGAGTCTTAGTTTCAAGGAATTTACATTTTTTCAAAGTAATTATAAATAACTTACCCAAAAAAAGATTGTTTAACCATTAGTTTTGGAATTTGTACAGTTTTCTTGCATTCTATTATCATATTGCTAAGAGGTCAGTCTTGCAAACACAGCTGCTTTGGGTGTGGTATTAAGAGGAATTTTAATCAGATTTTCAAGAAATTGGAGCAAAGGAATGATTGAAAAATACCCTTTTTTCACATGGAATCAGAAGCTATTGAACCAAGATACTTAACCTTACTACCACTTGCCACTTTATAGAGGCACCTCTATGGTGGTTATTTTCTTGTTGTTAATATTACCTCTGAATATAAATGATGAGCTTGAGGTGGAGAGATTAGTAAAGTGAGTACACATATGGATTTATAAAGACAGTATGAGAGGGTGATAATATGCAATTGATTGTGGTTACATTGATTTGCTTTGTGGGTTTGGAATTTAGGAATATTTCGTTCAAGGGAGGAGGAATAAAGCAACTTCTAGAGATCCTGCTCAATATTATAGAAATATGGAGAGGCCAACAACCCTACAGTCTCATTCTAGAGGATGCAGAAGAAAGAAAGAAAAAATGAAATGAGTACGACCTGGACAGGGGTTGAAGTTCAAATACTGACTAGGTCTTCCTCTCTGATGACCACCAGATAAACAACTATCTGTGCCTTTAATTTAACCCTTTCTAACCAATGGCAAGGACCAAGTAAATTAACAGTACAGCAATGGTGATTAAGAGTTCGGTCCATGGCATCAACCAGACCTGGATTTGCAGCCCAGATTGAACACTTATTAACTATGTGATCTTGAACAAGTACGTTAACCTCTCTGTGTCTCAGTTTCCTCATCTGTAACATGGAGCTATTGATAGAACCTATCCATTAGTATTTTTCTTCCTATATCCCTGACCTTTTTTTTTTAAGCCTCCTTTCCTCGTTTATTTTCCTCTGTGCATGTCCTAAATCTTGTTCCTCAGAGTTTTCTCCATGTCCTTTTCTTCCTTGAAATGACTTCTTTCATGCTTTTGCCTTTAGCTGTTTCCTACAGACAACTGCAAAGTCTATATCCTTAGTTTGACCTGTCTTCTGCATTAAACACTTTCAGTTGGCTATGAAAATAATCCTGATCTTGAGGCTTCACAGAAAGTTCAACATGGCCAGCACTGATAGTTCTCATTTTAATTGTATTTATATTAGGTTCTTGTTGATTTTATTCCTTCCATTTTTCCCTATGTTTATTACTTATTTTACTTTGTTGTCCACTCTCTTCCCTTTTTCTTATTTTTACTTATTTGATTCAGTTACTATTAATATTATTTCCTTGTTGTTAATTTGAAAGTTCTACTTTAATTTTCCAGTCTGTTAATGATCACCTCCATTTTTTTTGTTAACATATTCAGACATATATGACTCAACTAGTTCAACATGCTCTTAAACTCCACTTCTCACATGTCATTGTCATCCAATTGCACGTGTGCCTGCATTCTCTGTCGTAGTAAATGGCATTATTGTGCATAAAGTGGCCCAAGTGAAAAACCTAGAGTCATCCTAGATTTCTGCCTGTCCTTCATCTGCCACATGTAATCAGTTAGCAAACCCTGCCGGTTCTACTTTTGTAATATCATTCCACCCAACTCTTGTTCATTCTTTAAGATTAAGGAAAGTCATTGCCATCCTCCTCCAAACCAACATGTCATTGGAATAGCTCATCCTTTTGGGCCCCACTGTATATAATACAGGAGTCTCTGAGTGGTGCAAACAGTTCACACACTCCACCGCCGACCGAAAGTTGGAGGCTTGCA